GGGACAAAATGTGGGACACACACACAAACACACACACACACACACACAGACAACCCCGTGACAATACGCGTTTTGTAACGAGCACAAAACGTATAAAAAATGGCTCAGTCGTTCGCCTTTTGATGCAACTATCGTGAACTGAATCAGTTGAATGCCACTTACCTCTGAGGAATTATTCAAGAACATAGAAAGAGGTGCTAACGATTGGCATAAAACACAGGAAATCTTGATCCGTAAGTCTTCGCGGTAAAGCATCCTTGCAGGCAGGTCTACAGACGGTGTGTGTTGCTTAGGCAGGGTGGATGACTGCATTCTGTCGCAGTCATCCACCCTGCCTAAGCAAATATCAAATAGTCGTTTAGAACGCTACATAAAGCAGTCAGGAGTGGAGCAAATACGAGGGTATCATAGCATTTGTGGCATAATGACGCCATTATACGCAATAATTTCGACTCCACTGCCAGGACAGCTACACTGATCTGCTTTGAACGGTTATCAAGTGCCTTATAAACGTGAGAAACACCGTATTGTTGTAAATATTGAAAACAGATCTACCGTCTGATATGAACCTAAGAAACAAAAAATAAACTAAACTGCTATTTTTCTCAGGATGCACAGCTTACTCATTGTGCCCCTGGTTTCAGAGGAAGTCATCGACAGCCTTGCAAGAAGATGGATGGTGTTGGCTAGGTGCTATCATCAAAACTTCGGGGTGTCCTCTTAGAAAGAGGGAGAGGGAGGGAAAGAGACGAAGTAAACTAAAGCGGTGCATGATCCCAAAAATAGCTTCTGCGTGGTGTATTGTTTCTGACGCTGAATTGAGCAGTGGATTTCAGGATCAAGGAAAGTTTGCATTAACTTATGAAGCAACTACGACACGATTATTCCGTGAAGGACGTACAGAAACTGTACGTTCATGTACTATACACAGTTGTGAGTTCGTGCGAGCAATGCTCGATCCGCTTCAATCAGTACGTTGTTAATTTTATTCTACGAACAGATTAAAAAGAAAGTTTTTTGGTAGCTTCCGTGAAATTTTGTTTTGGTCTTTCGTTCAAAACTGGGATTTAATTTATTTGCGCGTGTGCTTAAAGATTTCCAATGATTTTTTATGTATTTTTTGCTGTGCAGCAGCCTCGCAAAACGCATATTGTCATGCTTCTGTTTGTGTGAATGTTATGTGTGTAAGTGTGTGTGTGTGTGTGTGTGGTTGTGTGTGTGTGTGGGTGTGCGTGTGTGTGTGAGTGTGTATGTGGGTGTGTGTGTGTGTGTGAATGTGTGTGAGTGAGTGTGTGTGTGTGTATGAGTGTGTGTGTGAGTGTGTGTGTGAATGTGTGAGTGAGTGTGTGTGTGTGTGTGTGTGTGTGTGTGTGCCCGGTTTGTCTAAAGTTTTCAATTCGAGTAGCTAGGGAGCTGAGATTTCAGGAAAATGCTCTCCGCCCACGTGTGATCCGCAAATTTAATTTCAGCCTTTCCCTACTTTTGAGTACCACACACAACTTCGTGAAAAATTTGGCGTGGAAAATACTTTTTCGGGAACTACGAAAGTCAGGATGCTTAAAATTTTGGGTAATGCCCATTGCACATATACGGTCCCGCAGATTTAAATTCAGCTTCCCCGCACGCCGAGGTATCACGTGAGGCCCGGCGAAAATTTTGACGGAGAAAATTATTATCTAGGAAACCACGAAAATTAGGAAACTGAAATTCTTGGGTCATGTTCCTTGCCTACGTACGATCCTGCAAATTCAAATTTAGCTTCCACATACGCTTTGGAGTCACATTCGGCCCCGAGAAATTTCTGGCGGGAAAATTATTGCGTCGGGAGCAAGGAGGCTGAAAACTTTGGGAGGATGCATTCTGCCTATGCAGCGGCCTCACAAACTGAATTTTAGTTTCCAGTTGTGCCGAGATCTCACATATGCCCATGTGAAAGTTTGGTGTGGTAGTCACTCTGATTTCAGAAAATTGGGAGATTGAAACTTGGAGAGAATGTTCACCGTGTTCAAGATTTCAGATTCAGCTGTCGCGTATGCTCACATTTCACGTTCCAGTACGTGAAATGTGAGCGTACGTGAGAGATGAATTTCTTGACGCAGGAATCAGAAAATACGCCAACTATTTTTCGCAAACCAAAGTGTGAAACAATGAAAATCCTTAGCAGGCAAACGTCTGCTGGACCGAACCGCGCAAAACGCGTGGTCGGACCGGCTACTCTAGTTTTTTTGTGGGAACTAAGTTCTTTTCATTTACTCATGATTATTATTTAAGCGCGAAGACAGACTGAGGTTGCTTCGTATTGCTTGCAGTTATCATCAGCAGCTCTATCGTGATGCGATGTCTGGCAGAGGTGTCGATCGTCATCTGTTCGCCTTGTAATTTTTCAGTTTTTACTAGTTTTCTACTTTCAGAACATATATAAGTGACTCGACTTCCTCCCAGTTTTCGTACATGGGACACATAAATGGTGTTTCTGTGCGGCGGGTGCGGCGGATGCGATTTGGAAAGGTAGGCTAGGCAGCTGTGATGAGAAAATCCTAACCTCGTTCCGTATGGACGCATTTCAGTAAGCGAACTCGCAGTGTGAGTAGAAAGGATTTTTTGTGCGGGAAAGCAGTTCACAGAATTCTCCTTTTCAGATATATTGTTATGCGTTATTTGGAACTAAAGTCACCATTTCTTGAGCGCATATTTCCGCCCACTTTTCTACTTTCAACAAGTCAGACACCGATGAATCAATGTGAAGAAGAAATGAAAAGCATCGATGCAGCGCTAAAGCTAAAGATCGTCACGGCAGGCGGTGGTTTTGGCCCGGTAGCAGATCGTGGCTATGGTGTTTCTTATATAATTGTTGGAGAAGATCGACTTTTTTTCCATATTTCGTCGAAAAAATCCGCTGAGAATACGGTATGCCTAAATATTTTCCTTCTTCATGCTCATATTAGTAGGGTTGTTTAAAATCATCTGGTTCTGGAAAATGGGAACGGAGAGGTGCCACAGAAGTCCGATAAGGAGAGGAACACGTCATTCATTAGCATGATTTCTGGAGCTACTCGGAGAATCGAGTGGGGTTTGGTGTGTTTTGGGTGCACTTGGATGCCGAGCACAGCTGCGCTGGATCTCTCCGCCTTCAGCTTAATTTGATTTCTGTCTCTTGTATTTTCATCATACTGGCCTCATTCACCGATTCATTTATTGAAATGGCTTTCGCTATGGTTTGTCAGTTTTTCAGAGTTCCAAAGAATTTCGTGATGCGATCATCAGGAGCTTGCAGGATATGAGCCAATTACTCGCCAGTTAGGCTGTGATAAAGAATGTTTGATTTCCGTTTGTTGTTTCTAAGCTTTGGACACTCTAAAGGATGTTGGGGCTTGAGCCCCAGGTGATGAATAGAGATAGGGCCTGACGCCATTCAGTGAGGAAAAGAACCAGTAATTATGCGTGACTCGAAGCCTTCACGAGAGTGTTACAAGCGGTCATTTTACGTCTGTTGCTTTAGGCGAGCTATGGGGCAGGAGCCTATCGACAAGCTGCTGGCGGTATATTGCTGTAATCTGGGGTGCTGTGACTGGAAGGCAGACGAGTATTTCATCATTTCTAGAGGATAGGTTGCGAAGAGGAGGGTGTTTGACGTGTGTGTCGTATGTATCTACAGGATATCTCGTTACCTTTGTATAAAATTTGATAAGTGCTGTAAAAATTCAGATAAATGATTGTGTCGCTTTGCCTTCTGTCGTCTTTATGTCATCTGCTATCACTGAAATACTGCTAAAACTAGTCGAAAGCGCACTGGCTGCCGGTGCGAAGGTGCGTTTTTTGCATAGTTACCCCGCAGGTTTTTTTCAGCAGTGGTACGTTCTTTCTGGCAGGTGCTTCTGGCTGGAAGAATTGAGACTGGCCACCACGACTGTTAGTCATTTTTACAATGACTCCAATCCATGCCCAAAAAATTCAACGCTCTAGATGTTTCGATTGGGGAGTTACGTCAAATTTCACGTATTCGTGTGTAGGTGGCAACGTGAATGCTTCGCATGCGGTTGCTCAAACACAGCCCTGGGTAACGATTCGGGAAGTTTCAACACTCAAGCTGCTCTTATTGCAGGGTCACGTCAAATTTAACGTGTTCGCATGCGGGTGGCAGCGTGATTGCTTTCTTCGTCTGCGGTTGCCCAAACACGGTCTTGGTAACGCTCAGGAAGTTTCAGCACTCAAGCTGGTCTGGTGTTACGGCAAGTCTCACTCGTGCCTTAGTGGTAATGTGATTCGCCTGCGGTTTCTCAAACACGGCCTTGAGCAGCGCTCAAGTCGGCACTCAAGCCGATCTGGTTGCAGTGTTACGTCAAATTTCACTTGTTGGTACGTGAGTGGTAGCGTGATTGCTTTCTTTGCCTGCAGATGCTCAAACATGGTCTTGGGTAACGCTCAGAAAGTTTCAGTACTCAAGCTGGTCTGGTTGTGGAATTACGTCAAATTTCACATCTGTGTACGTGATACGTGGGCGAGGCGTGAAGAGATATATAAGTCGTCTTCGCGTCCGTCTGGTTAAAGGTCACTGTTGGTCATGCTCGGAAAGTTCCAGTCCTCTGGCTACTTCAATTTTGAAGCCACAAAGGCGCATGTGTGAAATTCTCACGTGTCCGTACGCAAAATGCAGGAGATTGGATAACTTAATTTGCTTTCACGAGCACAACAGGTGGCGACAAGTAACGCTGCAAAATTGTAGCTCTCTAAAGCTTATTAGTCAGCTTAAATCTGAAGTTGGCGTGATGCCAGTTTAGACTTTGACGTGTGCATACGTGAGATCTGGGGGTGTGTGAAGGCTGAATTTGAAATCTTTGATTGGGCGTGGCCAAGGAACATCTCTGTGAAATTCCAGCCCCCCTAGCCTGCGCCGTTCCCGAAAACACATTCCCACGAAAAAAACTTTGACGTTCCCCTACGTGAGAAACACGTGGACCTGAGCATCCACTTTGAGGATTCGATCCCGCACGTATCATATTTCCAACCTTGCAGCTTTTGTAGATCTCGAGTTGAAAACCTGTTACAGACGCACACACAGACACACTGTCTCGACAGTATGCGTTTTTGCATTACATAGCTGCAAAAAACGTGTAAAAACGGCCATTACTGGAACTCGGCTAGGCCGCGTTTGGGACGCTCTCGTTTCTTTGCTATAAAAACCCGTGTTAGTAGGAAACTTACCCATGCATAAAGCTGATGCTTAGGTAAAGCTGAGAACTAATAAGTTAAAGCTGCGCAGACAAAATTGAGAGCCCTCAGCCTTACCCAGGCATTAGCTTCATGAACAGGGAAGCCCATTACTACAGGCGGGCTTTTATAAGACAGTTTCCTTTTGTTATGTTTTTTATTTGTTTTTTGTCCTTGCTTTCTCAATTCTTATTTGCTTTCACTTTCTTTAGCTTTTATTCATAGATTCCAGCTCTTCGGTTTTGCTTTTCGTTTTTTTTTTATGCGTTTTTTGCAGCTATGCAATGCGGGAAACGCATACTGACGAGAGGTTGTCTTTGTGTGTGTGTCTGTGTGTGCGCAGGGCCTCGGCTCTCTCATCTCGAGACCGGCAAAAGCTACAGGGTTGAAACTTCGGGGACATAATCTACATGCACGTACGGGCCCTCTCCAAAATAGGCGGTCTTACCCACGTGGTACCCGCATACGAGCCCGCCAAAATCTTTCTCGGGTAAGTTAGTAACTCGCGAACCAGAAAAGTTAGAACTCTGAAATTTTGAGGGGATGTCCCCTGTCCACGTAAGTCTAAATGAGCTCAAACCCAGCCTCCGGGTAAGCGTGTTACCCGCGTACGGGCCCGCCAAAATTTTTCCCGGGTAAGTTCATAACTCGAGGATCTGAAACGCTAGAAAGCTGAAATCGTAAGAGGATGTTCCCCGTCCAAATAGGTATTAATGAGCTCAAATCCAGCCCCCTGTTGAGCGTGGTACCCACATACGGGCCCGCCAAAGTTTTTTTCGGGTAAGTTGATAACTCGAGTACCTGAGAAGC